CTTTTGCAATAATGGAGTCAGCATATCTGCTGTCGTCTCTGGGTCCGCTTTCAGTGCTTCAGGGGGTATTCCATCTGGTCCAGCTGCTTTTCCAGCTTTCAGAAGCTTGATTGCATTCATGACTTCAGCTTTCGTTAGAGGATTGGTGTCAACTTGCAGTTGTGTACGCGCTGTTGTTGGTATTTCTGGACTGGTTGCAGGTGGTGGTCAGTTCAAGAGTCCTTTGAAGTGATCCGCCCACTGTTTAATCTGTCGTTCTTCCATGGTAATTAGGTTGTCTTGACTGTCTTTTATAGGTTTCACTTGTGTTGATCTCTTCCCGGATAGAGACTTCGTTATCTGGTATAATGTCCTCAGGTCCCTTTTGCCTGGTGCCTTCTCAGCTTCAGTAGCCAGGTTGTCGTAGAATTGTCTTTTGTCCTTCCTAGCACTCTTCTTCACTTCTTTGTCCAGTGCTGTGTAAGTTGAGCTCAGCGTCTCCTTCTCTTGTCCGTCTTTGCGTTGAATCATTTTCTCTTTGATCATCCTCCTCTCCTCTATTAGCTTCCAAGTGTCCGTCGAGAGCCATTCCTTGTCTTGTTTCTTCTTTCTTCCTAAAACCGTTGAACACGTTTCGTTGAAAATCACCTTCAGAGAGTTCCAATGGTCTTCCACGGATGATTCCTCAGTGATCCCACGTAGTGTTTCCTGCTTTGCTCTGACAGTTGCAGTGAAAGTGTCCTTTGTGGTTGTGTCCTTCAGCTTTCGAGTGTTGAACTTGCATTGTGGCCTATCCCCAGCTGTCCTCGAGGCTTTTAGCTTCACTTTGAAAGTCCCTTGTACTAGATAGTGGTCTGAACCCACATCTGCTCCTCTCCTCAATCTTTTGTCCAGTAGGCTCCGTCTCCACTTCCTTGAGATTGAAATGAAGTCTATCTGGTTTGTGGTGTGTCCATCAGGTGAAATCCATGTCGCCTTGTGTATATCCTTGTGTTTGAACACACTGCCACCAATCACCAAATCATTGAAGGCGCAGAAGTCTGAGAAGAGTTCACCATTGTCGTTCATTTCACCGACGGCCTCACGACCCATGGTGAGTTCTCTTCCTGTATTGTCTCCTCCCAGTTTCGCATTCATATCACCCATCAGGATTCTGATATCGCCATTTGGGACGTTGTCCATTACTGTTTGTAGTTGACTGTAGAAATCCTCCTTCTTCTCTTGTTCTGAGAAGTTTGTAGGTGCATAGCATTGAATGATTGTAACCTTCTATCCTTTTGAGGTGAACCTTGCTGTCATTATCCTGGAGGAGATTGGTTCTCACTGCATGAGAGCTTTGGCTGCTGTTGGTGACATCATGATGGCTACTCCCTCGGTGTGTTCGTGGTTGTCCTTTGGGTGACTGAAATAGATTACTGTCTCTCCAGTTGATAGTTGGCACCTTCCACATCCGTTCCATCTGCTCTCGTAGATTCCCAACACTTCTATTCCATATCTTCTCATTTCTGCGGCTACCTGAGCAGCCTTTCCAGTTTCGTACATTGTACGAACATTCCACGTCCCCATCCTTATTTTTGCTTTCATCGAAAGGAGGCACATCGGCTGACTTGCTTCCCGAAGACTTTCACCACCCTGCGTCATTTCACTTCCCTGATTCCAGCGAAAAATTAGGTTATTGTTTATATTTTTAGAATTTTTAATTTATATGAGTGCGTTGACGTTTCTGTATCAATTTGGTTAAGTTTCGGGGGTGGATTTGCTAGCAACACTCCCCAACCTCCTCTCTTTATCCGGGCTTGGGACCGGCTAGAAAACTAGCTAGCTAGTAATCTAGGCGAGGTTCAATTCATCCGTAAACTACAGATTTTCAACAGTCTTCTTGTCCGTTCAATGTATTCCTGTCATCCTGCTACCCACGCACGGTTCTCTGCATCGTCCAGTTCACCACAATTAGGAAGAGCATCTGTAGTAGAAGGCAGCCTTGTCTAACTCCTACATTTATTTCAAAGGCTTCGCTGACTTTTTAGTTGTGGATTACTTGACATGTAGTATTGTCATTTCTGCTGAATGAGGCCGTTAGGCGTTTAGGGAAACCCTCAATGTTCAAGCAGTTTACAAATCGCTTCACAGTGAATACCTTTGGAAGACTTTTCAAAATCCATAGAGTCTAGATGGAGATTTGACTGCCATTCTATGCTCTGTTCGATGATGAGTTGCAAATTGACCAGTATCTGATTTGCTTTTCCTGAACCCAACTTGTTCCGGGTGGAATTTTACATCTAGATCACCTTTTATTCTCTCCAGGATGACGCAACTTAGTATTTTGCTTGGCGTGGAGAGAGCATGATTCCGTGCCAGTTGTTAAGAAGGTCCAAGTAACCCTTGTTTAGTAGTTTAACAAAGTGGCCTTTCTTCTAATCAGTTAGTACTTTTCCCTCCTTCCAAACTCTCGGCAATTTTGTTGTGCGGATATACTCTGAGATCTCTTGGGCGGTTTTCAGTGCTTCAAGAGGAATTTCACCTGCTCCTGCTGGCTTTCCGGCTGGCTTTCGGTTACTTCGTAACATTCATAACTTCAGCTCTTGTTTGACGGCTGATGGTCACTGGCATTACTGTGACTGCTGGATATATCTCTGGACAAGTTGTAGGTAGTGGTCAGTTTAGGAGTTCTGTAGAGTGATCAGGCCATCACTTTCTGCAGTTTTACTACCTGATAATTCAGTCCACTTCGCTGTCTTCCATTGGTTTTGTCTCTGCTGACCTCTTAAACGATAAGGACCTGGTTCACTGGTATACTGTTCTGGGGTCTCTGTTACCTGCCACCTGATCTGCTTCAGTTGACAGTGTGTTACAGGACTGTCGCTGGTCTTATTTAACGCTATTCTTCACCTTTTTATTCGATGCGTTGTAGACTGAACTCTGCTTCTTCTTCTTCCGTTGTCTATATTTGCATTAGTTTAACTTCTGTTTCCCCATTTTTCTTTCTCCTCTAATAGCGTCCAAGTGTTTGTAGAAAGTCATTCATTTTCTTGCCAGTTCATCCTTCCTAGGACATCTGTGCAGATAGATGTTTCTCATCATCGATTCCAGACAGTTCCAGTGTTCTTTCATACAGGTTTCTTCATTGATGCTGAATTGTATCTCCTACTTTTCCCTGTTGGTTGTAGCTGGTTTATCTTTTAGGTGGAACAAATGGTTCCTTGTGTATATCTTTGTGCTAATGCACGCCGCCTTCAGTCACTAAGTCATTGAGGTTTATAGAAGTCTGAAAAGGGTTCTCCGTTGTCAGTGATTTCATTGAGAGCCTCTCGACCCATAATGAATTCTCTTCCTTTATTATCTGCTACCAATTTTGCCTTCGTATCGCAAATTAGGATTCTGATGTCACCATTCCGGGTGTTATCCACCGCTTTTTGTGTTTGGCTATAGAAATCTTCCTTCTTCTCTTGTTCGCGTTTTTGTGGCACTGTGCGTAGCATTGGACAATTGTGACCTATCTTCCTTCCTCCTGAGTTGAATCTTGCAGTCATGATCCTGCAGGATGAAATTGGTTCACACTGCATGAAGGCTTTGGCTGCCACCGGTGACATCATGATAGCCATTCGCTGCGTCAGTGTGTTCCTGGTTGTCGTCTCGGTGACCAGACCGGAGTAGATTACTGATTATCCAGTCGATAATTTGGATAGTCCACATCCATTCCACCACCAACCCTCAGAGATCTCTAGCACTTCCGTGCAATATTTTCTCATTTATTTGTCAACCTAAGTAGCCTTCTGAACTTCGGAAATCGTGTGTAAACTCCACGTCCCCAAACCTGTTGTCTTTTTCATCTGAATTAGACACATCGGTTAACTGGCGTGCCGAAGGCTCTCACTAGTTCACGTCAGTTCTTCTCTCCAATTTCAGAGAGCAGTAAGTTTATCTTATATATTTTGTTCCTGTGCTTGAACCTTTCTTTAGATATTTGGTTGATATTTTTGTAACAGGTTATCTAGTTCCACACCCAACCTTCCTTCTTCTCCGGACTTAGGACCTGCTAGTACACTAGTAAACTCAGTGCGTAAACTTTGTCGATCAGACATTGATGTGCAATTCGAAGATTTGTATGTGCAAAATTCCGTCTTCCGACGGTGAACTAACGAGGTGTAGCTGTACGCTAGTTGACAGCCATGTACAGCACAACTAGTAGCGGATATTCGGTTAAAAGTGTGTTATGGAAACAGCACAGAGAAGCTTTAAGAAAACTTTAAGAAAAAATGAGAATACACCTACATCTATCCGAAATCACTCTTGTGTTTTGTATCGTCCAGCTGTAGCCTTCAACCGCGAGTGGCTTTATTGTATATCCCTGCTACTTGTGGCAACATAGTTCATCTCTATGGTGAATCTTCGCATATAAAATTTTCTTCTGACTTACACATTATCGTAGTATTATATTCTTGAACTGCGTTACATTCACTACACTCTCATCACAAAATGTCGCCTGATACTGATATCTTCTCAGTGCAATATATTAAAGGATGAAGTAGGTTCAAAGGTAAACACATACTTTTCGATTTTTACGAAATCATGCTGGTATATTCTGGCCTATTTACTGATACGCCCTAATAACCACTGGATAGAGGAGGTGGCGCCACTTCAAAACACAGATTTGCCATATAATCGCCCACTTCAATCGCTGTGCCTTCTTAAAAACAGTCATTTTGTCATGTTATTTTTTAATATGTTCGCGATCTTTTGAAGTTCTATTTTTCGTTAATTCAAACATATTCACACTACATGATACAATATAACAAAAAAGATGCTTATTGAACTATGGACATTTTACTGTAACGTTCTGATGTGATTTTAATAAGGTAACTTCTATGCCCAACAATTTACTCAACCTTTGGACTTGAAATCACTTCAAAAGACTTCAAACACATTTTCAAAAATGATTCATTCAATTATTCAATGTTCTATTGAAACATTGAACCCTTCAGAGTATTTTTAAACTGACTAGAATGATATTAAGAACTATCAGCTCATTAGATTACTGTATAATTTCACATTTGTTTGTTTAAATAAACTCATCCATTAATGAAGGTTTATAAGATTCTTTTGAGTTTCTCACTGTTATTCCACTTAACGACATTGTTATTGGCTACAATACCGAAAGTGGAACAATACTTCAATAAAAATGATTTATGTAAAATTAGTAACACGTTGAACATTGAGCATAATTACTCAGCATGTCATATTCTTGAAGAAGCCATAAAACGTTTCATGTTACGATTAAATATGCTGCATCCTGTGCTGCTATTCCCCCAGTTCGAAATCTGTACAATATCAAAGATGGCGATTGTAATCTCAGAAGGATGTGATGAAAGGGAGAGTAAATTATGGCCATATTATTCAATGAATGAGTCATGTAAGTTGAATTGACGACCAGTGGTGTTTTCGAGTAGTGCTCTACAACATTGTGATTCCTTTAGATATATTGGATATATCTCGGAATACTTTGTATATTGAATCACATGAGATATGGGGAACACTGCACGCTCTTGAGACTATCCTTCAATCATTGTATAAAGCTACACATAATCAAGTAATGTGTTTTATGAAGAAGTCACTTGAAAATTTCACCAGAATGTGATGTTTATTTGTCATATTGAAGATTCACCACGATTCCCACATCGAGGAATGATGATTGATACAGCTAGGCATTATTTGACAATTGAGACAATACAAAGTGTGATTGTAAGTTGTGTGTTTGATTTCCCGCTAATGTTTTATACACAAATATAAACAAAGGATGCTTTGTCGATGGTGAAAATGAATGTGCTACATTGGCATATGACAGATGATGAAGCCTTTCCGTATGATTCCTCAGTGTATCCTGAATTGTCTTCAGCGGTAGAAATCTAGTTTTGAAATTTAAAGTAATTCGTTTTTCAGGGAGCATATCATCCACACTTGTTTGTGTATGAAAAAGATGAAATCGAGTCGATAATAGAATATGCTCGAATACGAGGAGTTCGAATTGTGATTGAATTTGATAGTCCAGGTGAGTAAGGAGCAGTATTCTTGTTATGTTTATTATTATTCCCTCAGATCCTGAGTGTAACGTAGGAATTCAAGAGTGCATCTTCATTTTAACCTGTTCTCGGAATTTGCTTATAGCTGGCACCACGATTGCCCACAAGGTATTATGTCCTCTTATATTACGTCTTCTTTGTCACCCTGTGACGCCTAAATCATCGTTTTGCATTGGAGTTCCACCCTGGGTATCAGGATTTGATGTCACTCAACACTCTGTCCTTCATATATATATCTCCATTTACCTCTCAGTGATTGTTTGGTTATGCGTTCTTCGACGGTTCGTTGGGCTACTAGAGTTCCTAGTTGCTTATTGTTTCCTGCCGACCACCTGATTGCCAGTCGATAATCGTTTGCAGTAGCCTGTTTGACACGTCAGTCAAGTCTTTCAATCATGCAGAAGAACTAACCAACTTGATATTAGTGTTGAAAATCTGAATCGTGTTCTTTATGTTGAGTGCAACCAATGTCCCCGATGTTTACAGAGTGATGAGGGTTCGTCTTACTTTTCCAAACTTGGTTATCTTTCACATCCTCACGTTGGCTGTCTGTAGAATAAACGACGCTGCCTAGATAAGTGAAGGATGTAACCTGTTTCAGGTCTCTACCGGTAATGTTAATTGGTGCTGGTCGTTGCTGCTATTGCTGTTGGTTGGTTATCGTGAGCACCGCCGTCTTCCCTATGTTCACCTGGAGTCCTGGCTTCGCTGTCTGCCAGCTTCTCCAGCCAGTTTGTTGGATTTTGCCTGCAAGTCTTCGAGTTTGTGTGACACTAAACACGAATCATTCACGCACGAAGTTCAGACCTTCTAGAGTCTTCTTATCGCGCCAACTTATTCCCGTCTTTTCACTCCTAAGTAGATTCTGACGCATAATCCAGTTCACCAAAATTAAGAATACCATCCATGGTGATAATAGGCAAGCAGCCTCGTTGTACTCCTGTATTCACTTCGTACGCCTTTCTGCGTTTTCTCTTGTAAACCACCTGGCACGTGCCACTATCATGTAGCCGGACGTTGAATGAGGTTGATGAAGACTTGGGTACTGCACGCAGTAGTGTTGAGGTAGTTCCCAAATTAATTCTCAGTCAACGTTATCTGTTGGAGGCCTTTGCGAAGTTGACGAAGTTGAGGTAGAGGGAGGTTTGACTGCCGTTCTATGCTGTGTTCTGTGATGATGATGCGTAGAGTTGCAATTTGATCAGCGTATGATTTGCCTTTCGTGAGCCAAGCTTGTTCTGGCAGGCAGAGTTCTGCATCCAGTGAAATTCCTATGTGGAAGTTATTGCATTCTGTAAAAATTAAGACATATCAAACACACTAAGATATATCAACTACACTGGGATCAATCAATATTTGACCATTACAAATGACTTTTCGTAAGATGTTACCTACTGCATTTCTTCCAGTCTTATGAGCACACTATATAATGACTGCCTCTATTTCTATTTTCTAGGTCATACTCTCTCCTGGGGTGCAAGTCATCCTGAACTACTATCGGGTACATCACATGATGGACCAATAAGACCAGTCGGTGAGGATGTATGGACGTTTCTATCAAGTTTATTCCAAGAAATTCTGAGTGTATTCCCCGATAGCTTTTTACACTTAGGCGGCAATAAGTATGATAGGCGTTCATGGTAAGTTTGGCGATTTTTGTTGAAATTATAATTCAGTTTATTAAAGAGAGAATCAAACACCCTACCCTGGATGAAAAACTTCGACAGAATGGAATCACGCAAAAAAAGACTTGGAGGATCTGGACTTCGCCGATGATATACGTCTGATTTCCCACAAACTGGAAGATATGCAGGCGAAAAGCAGCAAGTTGGCGATAGAAGAAGCATCCAGAGAAGATAGCACTTCAGGTGAAAATAGAAAGAACAGAGATGATGAAGATTCCTGGCCAAAAGCGGTGGCAACAGCAACAAAAACAGACAACAATCAGCCAGCATAAATGGGAGAAATTTGAAAGAAACAACCCCCCTTACCCACCCACCTACCTGGGTGATTACTCTGAAACTCATGTGGAAATCTGTTACAATAAGCATAAGGAACAAGGCCTGGATCTTTAACACCAGTGCAATTTAGTGATTGCTTCTATGTGGTTCAGAGATTTGTGGCGTTATGGAAAACATTCCCAACAAGCCGACACAGAATCCCACCAACACCTGAATTTGATTCATAATGAAGATCAGATTGCTGGCTTAAAAGGATGAGCGATAACGACCTCTGCCAATGAACGAATCAATCAAGAACCCATTGCCCAAGAAACATTCTGAAGTAAATGAAGATGGACTGGACACACACGAAAGAAACGGTTGAGTGACAGTGCAACCTAGGCAGACCATTGAGTGGAACACAAATGGAAAACGATGAGTTGGTTGTTGGAGAGAAATCGTATTAGGAGGGGAGGAAAGATAACGCGTAGTCGTGGAGCAAAATATAGAGAACTGCAGAGAACAGGATGAAATGAAGGTGCGTTGCTGAAGACCTATTTTCCATTTGGAACTTATTAGAATCTTAATAATAATAATAGGCAAGGCTGTGTGGTACTTTGTTGGATCGCTATATGCTACACAGCACCCACCTTACCTAATTCCGCACTTAATCAATACACTGGCCAACCTGCAAATAATTTTAACAAACTACGAATGAAAAGGAATCAGCCATCCAGAAGCTCACGGTGATGTGGAAGATATTTAATAAATTTTGAGGCTATCTGAATAAATTGTTCTAGGATTTATTTGGCTAGTATGACTGAAGTGAAGAGGATATGTGTCTTACCAGAACATTGGAGGGGCATCTGATCCTGGTCGACTGCCTACCCGTTAAAACAAAACTCAAAACACCTATGAGTTCAGTATGTCAACCAGATATTTGTTTAGCTAATGTCATGTTGATTCGCATCACTTGTTTAGAAATCTTGCCAACCACTCACGCGGCCCACGTTCAATTCCAGACGCCATGGAAGTTACAATATAAGCCTTTCGTCAAAATCCATCATACTTGTTGCTGTTTGACTTAAATGAATGAAAGTCTGACATATACATGCATACACAAACACCTACAGACACTAATGAATATTAGTGAGTAATTCATCAGTGGAAAAACTACATAATGCAGAAGGTTTCACGAAACTCTCTTCGGTACTCATGACATGTCTAATTCAAGATGTTTGTGGGTTCTAAAGTATCATTTATACATATTTATATCGATTTAGATCACGGATTGATCTCAGACAGCGGAACACTAAAGATTAAGGAGTATCTCACAGCTGTTTCGTCCTTGCTCGATACACTTCAGATGTGCGCACCCGTCACTCTACAGTGGAATGAACCTAAGAGAGGTCAGCCTACCAGTCACTGGATGAAAACTAATGGCCCACGAATTCTAGTTTTTGTCAGTTTCCAGTATATGGCACAACCATTAGAAGATTTGGCCTCGGTGAACCAAGAGTCGACGGACTTCACCAGTAACCCAAAAGCCCAGGGTTCAATTGCTAGCAAAGGCCATGAGTGCATTCCCTAAAGATTCCCAAGCTGCGCCGAAACATCTAGGCAGTATTTCCTGTTAGTCTTCAACAGTTTCCTAACCGATCCCAGTTGGTTAGTGGTCTAAACTGAAATCATTGAAAAACTGTACAAAACAACCCTTCAAAAATTGTATGTACAATAAGAAATGTTATGTTCTATTTAATAGGGAAGAAGACATGGAGATCCAAAACTTCATGGAAGAGAATGGATTTGGCCAAGATTATAACAAACTAGAAAATCGTTATTTTGAACAGCTCACAGAAATCATTCAGAATATGACTGCAAATTCAGGTGGTATTACACCTGTTGTCTGGCAGGAGGTATTTGAAAATGGTTTTCGTGTGAGTTTAATTGAAACTTTGAAATTAGTTATGAAACTACACTGTACTTCATATTTTCATTTTATTATCATTATATGAATAGTATTCAAAGCAAGATATATAAGTTAGGAGTATAAGTGATTTTGTACGTATAATGTGAACATGTATGAGAATGACTGTTGAAAGAGTTAAAATATCTTATCGAAAGTTAAATTGTTTTCAAAAGCTGAGCTTCAAGAACCAGTCAGATACAGAGGATGGTACACAGGGTCATTCCAAATCAAATCTTGTCTGCCTTTTTTGACTTGGAGAGGGTAACTACATTATTCTACTTATCCCCGAGCTACTTTTTCTAGAAATCTGTACTGTTAGCTAGGGCTATGGCTTTTAAGATCAAGGCTGACACTAGGGTTAAGGTTAGGTCCAAGGTTAAAATTAGGATAACGGTTAGAGTATGGTGTAGGTTAAAGGAAAGTGTCAGAAATATCAGTGGCTCTCAAATTACCATGATCTACAGTCACCTGGATGAATGTATCTATCAATCATAGTACTGTTACAACAGAAAGCAAGACACGGGAGGCAAAGTATATTTTTCATTTATCAAATCGCTGTTTATATATGTACAGTTTATATTCTTTAACC